GAACAATGACGGTTAATTAAGAGGGGAAACGCGGTGATGTGTGTATATAAATTAATGCTCGGCCCTCTCGTGCTTTCGTGAGCGCGTCGAATGATTTTAAATTGTAAGTTATCGGCGTCGCGCACGGCTCGAAGATACTAATCGATATAATGGCGTCTCTCTGAGATGACGCACTTTGAATCGCCAATTTTCTCGTCGATTTAAGAATACGAATACTCGGGCGGCGCTACGCAACGGCTCATTTTTCCACGCTCTTCCTTTTCTCGTCGTTAACGCGAAGAGAGGACGAAGAGGAGAACCCCGAATATATATCGGCGCGTTGAACACCAATCCCGAGCCGTCACTCTTCGAATCCTCCCGGCGACTTTAAGTCGACAAATCGTGTTTTAAGTGTTATGGTCGTCGCGTCAATAGGTTTAAATCGATGATACGATCCGGCGCATCACTTCGCCGCATCGTTCGAGAAATTCTCGACGCGCGAGGTGCACGCGAGTTCGGCCGCGTGTGCGTGATACGGAGAGAAAGAGAGAGAGAGAGAGAGACGAAGGGAGAAAGAAAGGTGCGCACGCACACCGCTATATCGTCTCGGACAGGTTTACAAGATTTTTTAGCCCGAGGCACGCATCTGGGTAACCCGATCGTGCGACTGGTAAGGTAGACGAGCACCGAATTATTGCGCTCAGACCAAATAGTAAGTAATAAGTAACGAGAGATCTCGCGGATCCGATATTCACTCACTCCGATAAGGACGCGTGTCGGCGTTCATCGTGGAAATATCATCTATTGGAAGAGATATTGATTATAATTAGATACTGATCGGGAGAATACACGGAAAAAAGCAATCTTCTTGGCTGTATTTATAAAATAATTGTATTTTTCGTTGTCAGGAAAGAATGAGAACCAGACGGAAAACTCAGTTATAGAGACAGAAGATTCCTAGAAAATGCTTCTCTTACTTTGATTGTTTTCAATTATCTCAACCGAGTTTTAACACAGCTGAACGTCCAGACAAATGCTTTCGATTAAGGGAATGCTATATTTGAACTTGACTAAATACTGATTTCTATCTGCAAAATTTACGTCTTATTCGTTGCATAGAATTATAAATGCTTTTACACTAAGAAAATATTATAGTACAAATTATCAAAAAATTTTGTAATGTTAGACGATATCGGAATTATGACTGAAATTATTACATGTGTTGCCATCTTTAGTGATGCGTACACATGAATCACTAAAGATTACAACACAATTTCGGTCATAATTCCAGTATGGTACAACATTAAAAAATTTGGCGATAATTTTATTACTATATTTTCTCCGTGTACGCGTGAAAATAAGTCGGAGCGTTGCTCAGATATATGGCCATGTAGTGAAAATAAACATTTCAAAGTGACATCTCTAGCCGTGTCAATTAACATAAATATTTACTTGATATACAGAAATCCTGCAGTTGGTATACAGAGAAAAATAATTGGCTGGCATAGCCAATTTAATGCTGTCGCAGCAAAATCTGTCAATTACTATGTGGGCAGCAAAACGATTAGTTAAGAGTATTAATTGTTATTCTCTGGATTATTGTGCTGAATCTAATAAATTATTTTGCTGTAAGAACAAATTAGTAAATGTAAGAAAACACAATTTAATTGTTTAACAACAAATTAACGTGCTAAAGACAAATTCACTCAGCAGAATTTTTCTATCCTAGTAACAAAACTGTTTCTGCTAATTATGAATAATTCGTTAATTTGGTTATGCTAACTGAATTCGCAATGAATATGTAGTAGATTGCTTCGTTATAATAGCCAAATTTTTCTTCTCCGTGAATACACATTGAGAAAAAAGCATTTGAGACAACACAATCAGCGGTTATCTTAATTCAAAAAGATATGTCCACAAAAAAATTATGCATGAACACAATACGTTGCGTTGATGTACACGGAGAAAAATTTTTTGTTGACACAACAAATTTTTTGTTACTATAGTAACAGCAAAAAAGTTTGTTACACGAAAAAAATAATTTTGTTGTTGCAGCAAAACATTGTTGCGATAACAATAAAATTTAGTTCGCATAATTAGCGATTAATATTCTTAACAGATCTTTTCGCTGTCCAAAATAGTAACAATTTCTTGTGTCAGTAACAAATTTTCCTTCTTGTAGTTGCTAACTAAATAATAATCGTGGAATCAATTGGTAACTCATTATAGCAATTGTATAATTTGTTCAGTGAACTAAACGTGGTGCTTGAAAAAATGTTGTTCCTTTAAGCAAAATTTCATTGATTCGACCACTTTTTTCCTTAGCGTACCGATATTCCTTATTCGGTTGCATGAAATGAGACTTTTTTCCCGTGTAGTCGGAAAAGTGACATAAATATTGAAATGACAGCGAGACGAAGTCACGGTGCAAGTGATATTACATTGAGTCGCGTATTCGGCCAGTGTTTACATCGCTGTGGGCGCCCTTCGTCGTGCTCGGCGTGAACGGCCGCGAGGCTTTCTGACGGGCAATCATCGAATCACGCTGGGCAGCGGAATGATCTTGCGGCTGTCAGGAGGTGATAAAAGTCGCGCGGCGGTATGCTGATTTCCTCTTAATGGCCGCTTCGGGAGGCCGAGTGCGAGGCGAAAGTGTGAAGTGAGAATGGGAGAATGTCCGATGCTGCTCGCACCGAGAAAACGCAGCATCCATTTTTCACTCTGCGACTCCTCGTTCGATAGCCACACGATTGTTTGCGAGGTGTAATTCGCGCGCCGCAACCCGTTATTGTTCTTACCGACGGAATTATCCGCAAGTTATCGCAATTGCAATGAAATATATTTTTCGTCTATAACGTCTAACTCGTCGGTGATTTTTCTTTTTACTTTCTGTTTCTTCCTTTTCGCACGAGACAAGTTTAAATATTTTCTCCTTGACGAGAAGAGAGACTATGGTATTCATGCACAAAGATAAATATATATTATACTTAATAAATATTACTTTTATTATAAGAATTATATAGAAGTTTATGTCCGTAAATATATCTTAAGTTTATCATAAGTATTAAGTTTATAAAAAATATATTCTGAATCTTAATAAGTCTTACAATAGTATTTCAACCAAGAATATTAAATTAAAACAAACTTCGGTTTGTGTGCTTATTTGAATTAATCGAATTTAACTTTTCTTCGATAAAATTTATAATATTCTTGAAAAAATATAAAATTTTCTTTTTAGTACGTAATAGTGAGCTTCTCTAAAATTTGTGATAAGTATGTATATTTTGAGATTATTATCAAAAAAATATTCCTTGTTGAAGATAATTATTTCTTAAAAGAAAGAAAGTAAACTGAGTAATCGTTTTTCTTAGCGGTAGAATGATATTTTTCTCCATATAAACCAGTATATATATCTTATATTTAAGATTGTCTTACGTTCTAAAGTATCTTCAGATACTTTATTACCAATGATCTGTACAATGTACGAAGATAAACTTTGGACGATCTTAAATATAAGACTGACTATGAATACCGCCCATATAGTCAGAATTTATATTGAAGACCGTTTTAACCGTTAAGTTCATCTTCAGATGCATTGTAGCTAATAAAACGAGCCGTACAGCACCTGGAGATGAATTTAAGACAATCAAACAAAATAAGAGAATAAGAAATTTAAGACAATCAGACAAAATAAAATGTGAATACTATCCATATAGTCAGAATTTATATTGAAGACCGTCTCAAGTTCATTTTCAGATGCATTGTAGTCAAACGATCCATATAGCACTTGAAGGTGAACTTAAGACGAACTTAAATATAAGATCCGACTAAACTGATAAATCCATTTAGTTGACTCAAATAAAATATTCGTTTATATATAGGTAAACAAATGTTTTAGTTATAAGAACCAAAGAATTTGGTTTTTTGAATCAAAGTTTTGATTCTCTGAATCAAACCTATTTAATTTTCGTTTCTCAGTGTATGAATATCACCTATATAATCAGAATCTATATTGAAAGTAGTTTTAAGTTCATTGTAGTCAGACTGAAAAACCCATTTAGTTGACTGAAGCAAAATTTTATTGGAATATGTTTAAACAATGGTTGTTAGAGCCAAAATTTGACTTTCTGAGCCGAAGATTTAGACCTTTGAAGCGAAAATGAAAAAAGATTTTTCAAAGGACCAAATTTTGGTTTTCACAACCAGAAGATTTGTTTGAGCATATCTTAACTAAATTCGAGTCAACCAAATGGATTTTTCCATGTAAAACAATCCGTACAGGATCTGAAGATGAACTTGGGATGACCTTCAATATAAAATCCGAACTGCAAACGCTAAAATTTCCGTACGTGCAAATTCGCGCGCGGAATTTCGCCAAGTCGCGAGTTTCACGTTCAGCTCACGACCAATCGAGTTAATTGGTACCTTGGGGTAACAGAAAGCGCCATTATCCGTACCACTTTTAATCAGCGTGTGTGCGCGAGATGACCTGCGTCACACACACGCAGAAACGCACTCACGCACGCACGCGGCCGAAGGTGTTGTCCGCCGTCGCGCACGGACAATTCCAATAATTGTACGCGACAGAGAGAAACGTGCGGCTACGCGCAAGATAATTAATCGGTCGATTAATTAAAATGGCTCGCCTTTGAATGGCGCTCGCGCTCTTATTCGCGCTACTATCGCGCTCGGATCGTACATCATCGCGCGGACGCGCCGTGTCGTTCATTGTTCGTAAATATAGTAATTCAGCGACACGCGTTAGCGGGCCCCCTTATATTTACGCGTCGGTTCATTCACTTCCATTTACATGCCTGGCGCAAACGCGAGCGATCCGTCCGCTCCGCGCGCTCGGAATTATCCTCTGCCTCCTTCGCTAGACGCGGAGAGAAGCTCCTCGCCACCGTGGTGCCTCTTTATTATCGCCACCTCAGCGGTTCGCGATCGATCGCCTCGATCATCCGTGCTTCCCCTTCGACCAAACGCAATCTCGAGATCGCGCCGGCTCGTCCGCTACTCACCCCGAATGATGCCTCGTATACGTGGGGGCCGTAGTCGGGATCAGCTGATAGCTCTGCGTGACGTCCTCCCTCGGCTGATGCCGGTGATTACCGTGATAGCTCGCGTACGCTATCGCCTTAGTGCCACCGTGCTCCGTCATCGCGACGGCGCCGCTGAAATTGTGCTCCAATGTCCGTTGCTCCACGTGATGCCGTGAATTCGTCCGCTGCGCCAACCTGGTCGCCTGCGGCCTCCACGGGTTCCTCGCGGTGCTCGTCTCCGGGACGACGTCGTGTCTGGCATGTTGCAGCCTGTCGCGGTACCAGGCCGGCCATACGACCCCGCTGTGCCCGGGTATTCGATCCTCCGGCGACGATAGAGCCGGACTCGCGACGATCCAGCACGCCAGCAATACCTTTAGGGCCATCGTTCCGCTCTCTCAGTCTCTCGTTCTCTTTTTCTCCCTGGCGGAGAGAGCTCTCTCGAACGCGGTGTCCTAGTGACACGACAACGACGACAGCGTAGCCGGTCACATTCTCGAGCGCCACCACGAACGCGCTGAGTCGACGTGGGACATCCGAGATCCTCCACAGGCAGCTGAGAGCACTACTGAGAGAGCACTACCGAACGAGACACACCGAGCTGGTCCCACGTGCTTCAGCTGCTGGTACCAACAACCCCACCATGAGTCACTCTCTCTCTTTCCCTCTTCTCTCTTCCTCCCTTTCTGCGTCTCGTTCGTTCTCTCTGTTCCTTGCCGCCGCACCTCCCTCGTCTCCCTCGCGCACGCTGCAGCGGCATTTATTCTCGCGCATTCGCCTGTGCGATCCGACTGCACTCTCTTTCTCCCTTTCTCCTCTCCATTCCCGGCCGCCGCCTGGTCTCCTGATACCCCACTAGGTCCTCCGGTAACCACCTACGTATCCTTCCGCAGCGGTCTCGCCGCCGGGGCGGAGGAGGAATTCCTCTCTAGCGCGCTTTGCTATCTTTACGAGCGATAACGCTGTTCCGGACTCTCCTCGCGCCGGCTGCGCAAAGGTGTAACGGCGCGAAAAACGGATGTGGGTCGTGTGTGAGTCACATTCGCGCTCGCGAATTCCACCGTCGTCGGAACAAAGTTCCAGGTGATTAACGGCGCGGGGGAGGGAGAGATGAGAGGAGCCAGTTGAATGCGGGTCTTTTAATAGTAGTATGCATCCCTTGAGAACGAGAGGAGATTGAAATCGGTGGTGTTCCGCGATATTTAAGGAGGCTATAAGGTGAAATGAGTTTGATAAGAATTTGATGAAACTTTCATAAAGACTTACGCAAAGCAAAAGTACCTGGACACGTATCTAATTCTGGTAATTCTTATTGTTTTCGTCTTTAAGTGTGAATATTTAAACTCTCAACATGGAATAATATATATTTTATTAAACATATATGTTATGGCGTACAAAAGTTTTGAGCCAAATAGTTTTTATTACATATTTATCATACGATAATCGCTAAAAAGAATACACATATATAAGTGAAATGTATTTATTTTTATGCTTTAATTACATAAACTTGACAAACTTTCAATAATTAAATATTTTTATAATATTTTAAAATATATTAATTTTTTTATAATTTATTATATTAGATGAGCAAAAAAGTTCTAAGCTCTTTTTTGCAAAATTCAATCTTTATTTAAAAACAAACCAAAAAATATTAATCAGCGAAATATTCCCCGTTTGCATCAATGACCTTTTGCCATCTTTCGGGTAGCTTGCGAATTCCTTGACGATAGAAACTCACCGGCTTCGAAGCGATAAAGTCATCAATGCATTTTCGTATTTCTTCAAATCTCATAAAATGTGTATCAGCCAAGCGATGCTACAGCGACCGGAATAGATAGCAATCGGAAGGCGCCATGTCTGGGCTATACGCTGCGTGCAGGAGAAGTTCCCAGTCTAACGCAATGATATTGTCCTGAGTCACTTTTACAACATGTGGTTGGACATTGTCATGAAGCAGGATCACTTTACGACTTCTTTGGCCAGTAAATGGCCTTTTTTCTTTTAATGTATTGCTCAAATTGGCCAATTGTTGTTGGTAGCGGTCTGCCGTGATTGTTTCACCCGGTTATAACAACTTCCGAATAAACTGAAACCTTAATTCGTCAGAGGAAAGTATTGGCTTTTCGCCAATCAGCTTTAGTCCAATGTTCGTGTTTTCTTGCAAAATTTAATTGAATCTTTTTATTTTTTGCATTAATTAATAGTTTTTTAACATCAATACGCCCTGTAAGTCCCTCAACCTTTAGACGTCGAGATACTGTACTCCGACTAACATCAGCAAGATTTTCTTCTCGTAATTCTCAAGAAATGCTACAGCAGTTTTTTTAACATCTGCTATCAATTTTCTTTTAATCATTTTATCGACGTGCTTTGTAGTTTTACGAGGTCTACCGCTTTTTACCGGTTTTTACTAGAGAGTTTGTAGATTTATCTCTTCAGGGTGATGTAAGACCCGAGTCTAAAGGATCAAACTACTATAATATTTTTTTATTTATTTATTCACGGGATAACATCCTCTTTTTATACAACAAGAAAGCAATTTGCAGTAGGTTGGGTATTAAATATAATGTTAAAGACTGATATATAGACATTGCATATAAATTTCAGAATTATTGATCATTTTATTTTGAAGATACAGCAGTGTAGATTTCTTCATTTATAATAATATTTAAGACACACACACGCACGCATACACACACACACACACACACACACACACATATATATACATATTTAAACACTTACATATTTTTTTCTATTATCTATACATTTCTATTAAATCAAATGATGTATAAATATACATCATTAATAAAAACAAATAAGAAATGAAATTTCCGTATTTGTAATATTGTGTATATATGTTTAATTTCGTTTCAAATTAACATTTATTATTCATCTAATGAAATTAATGCATAAGAACGTTATTTTGTTTGACAAATATTTAATATATTTAATGTGGCTCTCTTGATGAGCTACTGAAAATGAGACGCTGATCGTTAGAACGTCCTTAAGAGTCTCGTTTTTAGAAGAAAATCGACAGTTCTGCAGTAGATGCAATAGATAAACACCGCACGTGGACGGGCCAGTAGGCGAGTAGGCGACATCGATACCGTGAGTTTAAGATTAATGAACCGTATAGGAGCATTTCCCGTCGTAAAATGAACATGCACAGGCGCGAAAACACTTTGGTACCATTGTTAAAAATCCCTAATAATATAGCTACCCCACAGCAACCCAGTGGTTTACTGGTAATTAAACGCAGCGCTGCGATAATCGCTGTCATAAGCAGAAACCGCAACCACCGCGCTGACATAACGATCGGCTCTACGCACAATCCGTTGCTGGTCGCATTAAAGCTTCGTTCATTATTCTGCAAACGAAAAATAAGCGAATAAGCGGCGAGCGTCGTAAAACGACGCGAAAACAAAATACAGATGCAAGCCAAGGGAGCGGCGCGAGCAGCGTCGCGACGGCGACAACAACGCTTTCTATCCGCATTATCGTCTCGGCGGAACACGGACTTTTATACGAGGTTACGCTGAAACATTCAGCCCTGCTGAATCGAGCCGGGCGGAGAGTGCCGAGGGAATTGCGCGCGCGACGTCGGTCGATTTCGCAATGCCGCTGCCATCGGGAGTTACGTGCGTTGGAAGTCTCAGCGCAATTCCTGAATCACTTCGGCCACCCGACGTTACTCGAAACCAAGGTCAGTGGTGCAGTGGCTGCGGCCGCCGCGAGGTCTCCGTTACCTTTTTGCTCCTTCCACCGTCGTGGACGTCGAGGGCGCGCGAGAGGAGCGGAATAATTGCGCAGATCATCGTCGTCGTTATTGCCCATTAAGAGGCGCAGGGCGCTAAACACAGAAACGACCCCGCCGAGATAGATAAATCAATGTACGCGTGAGATGACGACGTTCATTCTCACGAAGGCGATCTCTATCCTTCGTTTTTACTCCATCTTCCCGATGATAATCACACTCACGGAACGTGACGAGACCAGAAATCCAAGAGGTCTCTCTCTCTCTCTCTTGTATCAATTGAAATTATGCAATCAACTGTTGTTACGTCCTTCGGGCCCTTCGATGGGATTAGGATCTTAGGATCATTTATGACATCCTGATAATGTTAGGAATTTTCTAGGCTCTCCGTTTCCCAACCTTCCACATCCGTTTTCCACAAAAACTGCTCTCATTGGCGATCGTCATCTGCCACTCCCCAAAATCTTCCCTATAAAAATCTTACTTTCTGGTCACTCCACAGTCAGTCAGTGTCAGTCAGTCAGTCAGTCAATTTTCTTCTTCTTCTTCTGCTGCTGAACAACTCGCTGTGCAAGTCGGGATCTCTTAAGTGAACTATTTCTCTCGGTATTCCGGGATTCTAGAAATCTGGTACACCACGATCAACGAACCCATTTTCTATTCACTACAGTTTATTCACCTAAATCGTAAGTCTTTATTTCATATTTAAATATGACTTTTAATCGTTTCAATCAAATCTCCAATCCCACTTTACTCCTTAAAACACACACATACACTGCGTAATTATTATCTTCCTTGTATTATATAATGATGTTTTTCTTGCCATACCGATACGTTAAACATTCTTGTCACGATAAATTCGATTGTATTATATTAAGTTACACGGATTACTTTTTTACACAATCTTACTTTAATCTTCATATTTTACGAGGGTGAATCAAATATAAACCGGAATTATTTTTTTTTGTTTAATTGAAGCATCATAAAAAAACTAACATACATAACTATTTTTCTACATAATCCCCGGACTCCGAAACACATTTTTCCCAACGGTAACCAGTTTTTAAATTCCGCTATCATAAAATGAAGGCGGCTGTGACAGCAGCCAATCGCTCACGAAGGATTCGATAGAAGCATCGTTGTCAAATCTTTGTCCTCCAAGTGCTTCTTTCAGTGGTCCAAACAAATGATAATCGCAGGGCGATAAGTCCGGACTATAAGGATGGTATTCCAGTGTAGTCCAGACTAGTTCTTCAATTTTTTGACGAGTTAAGGCAGCTGTATGGGGCCAGGCATTGTCGTGAAGCAGGATAACGTCTAGGATTGGAAATCCGCGTCTTGTCCGACGATATTCGCGTTATGCTTCTTCCAAAAGTTGGCAATAGTATGCGAACAGTAGTATAGTTCACAGTATGACGTTCGTGAAAAAAATCGACATGCGAAATACCTTTAAAGTAAAAAAATACAGCTGCAAGAACTTTTCCAGCTGTGAGCCGAGTTTTGGCTTTGACGGGTGCAGATTCACTTTTCTTTCGCCATTCCATACTGGCTTCTTTGGATTCCGGGGTGTAGTGGTGCATCCAAGTTTCGTCGCAAGTCAGTGCAAAAAAGCTTCCCCTTCAGCCTGAT